AAACAATAATTATTTAACGTACTTTCGGCTGGGGATACAGAAAAATTGTATACGACACACGGCCAGAAATTTGGATACCCTAGCGAGCGTGATATATAAAGCCTCGGCTTCGCCTCGGCCTTATATATCACGCCGGCCAGGAAATCCAACTTTCTGGCCTAGTATCGTAATATACTATTTATAATCTAGAAAAACTTCCCAGTGACTGGTCATTATAGAGTTGAAATTTCAACCTGGGAACTAGAAAAGTTCAGATTTTTCTAATCATGCAAATTTACCAAACTTTTTTCAAATGCCGTTTTAGATTACAAATATAATTATAATTTAAACAAAAATAAGAATAATAATTTATTTAAAAATTGTTTAACTAATAATTGTACTTTTAATTTTAATCTGGGTAGGTTCATCCCAAAAAAATTAAATTTGTCCCTAGTTTTTCCATTTTTATGAAACTTTGAGAAATTGTCACAGAACACATGGAAATAAAAAGTGTGAAAACGATTTTATAATTATTAATATTAATACGATTATAAATATTAAATAAAAAACAAATTGCCTATATTGAAAGCTTTTAAAATTTAAATACTTTGAGACATTAAGAACAAAAACACTTTATTGAGTTTACAAAATTAAGTGAAATTAAATTTTGGAAAGCAAAATAACACAATTAATATTAAATTTAATTTTTATTAACAATTATTTAAACAATTTTTTAACCAAGTTTGCTTTTTTTGGGAATTTTTCTTTCTTTCTAGAATCAGAAGTTTATTAGTATAGCTTTGAAATAAAAGCTTAAAAAACATGGTTCTTTAAAACAATTATTATTGTTATAAACATTTTTCTGAACAAAAATTTAATAAATATAATGAAATATTTTTGATGAAGTAAATAATGATCTCACATACCTACTAACGATAGGATAGGTGTGTTAGTTGTGCTGCGGTTGCTTTGGTTATTGTTTTAAATTATTATTATTAAATAATTATTGTTATAGAAGTTTTTTATTAACAACAAATTAATAAATTTTCTTAAATTTGTGTGACAAATCAAACAATGTTATCATTATTTACTTCAGTTAAAACTCATCTGTTTAAAATAATTGTTTATAAGAACTTATTTGATCAGTGATTAAAGTTATTTATATATCTTTAATAATATAATAATCTTATTTATTTATATTTGATAGTATTATTAGTTTTACTTTTTACTCGGTTAAAACTAAACTTTGTTTTGTTTAAATTATAATTTCATTTTTAATGCAAATCGGCATTTGCAAATAGTTTGGTAAATTTGCATGATTAGAAAAATCTGAATTTTTCTAATATACTATTCTGTAAATAGTTAGTAATAAAGAATAATAATTTTCCAAAAAGAAAAATTGAATTCGGTTAAAATTTACGAATTACAGGTGATTTTGAACATAAGTTTGTATGTAGAGTATAGTCTGAAAATGCGCTTTTAACGGTTGCGCGCAAGGACAAAAAATTCAATATCTCCTAAAGTTAGACCCTCCATCAATTCTTTTTTTAGAAAATACTTGTGAAATAAGTGGGAATCGAAACATTGTTATTAAAAGCAAAAAATAGCACTTTTCAAAAAATTGTTTATTTAAAAATTATTTTTTAAATAATTTGTTTTAAAAAATAGTATATTAAGCAACAAGGGTATAAAGGCAGCCATTTGTTTACGGTGATTTTTGCGACACTCGTTCCGGTCTCGGGGCGCCTACGGCCCCGTCGACCTCCGCTCGTGTCGCAAAAATCAACGTAAACAAATTGGGATACCTTTATTCCCATGTTACTTACGATATTGTTTATTCCTAATGCACAAAAGTGTCGATTTCAGATAGCAGACGACAGGGAGTAAAAGTCATTCACTTGTTCGACTTATATGAAAATGAGTGACTTTACTCCCTGTCGTCAGCTATCTAAAAGCGCCATTTTTGTGCATGTGGGATAAAAATATTTTTTTTTATAAACTATTTTTTTAAATTGTCTGTAATTAATAAACATTTCCTAAAAATTTTATTAAATTTCATTCATTTTCCTTTGAGATAGGGTAAGTGCGGGTATAGTCGGACAGTACTAGTAGTCGGACACTTTCATGTTTTTTGGCAAATAAATAATAATGCATTGTGATATTTACTTAAAAAAATATACTGGACGAATGTGTAAAGTTTATATTTTATGAAATTAGTGTTATTTTACAAAATAATTAAACAATAAATATTTTATTTAATATTTTAAAAATCGTGGTGTCCGACTATAGATACAACCATTTTCGAGTAGCGCAATGAGTAGCACAAAGTTTTGCTGATAATTAATCATAAATTTTAAAACTTATACGATTTAAATATTATATTAATAACTTCTAGTATGGTTTAATTCCATTTTCCAGCCGATAGCAATTACAAAATTATCTGTTTTACTTTATAAATCCAAAATATCTGACAGATGTCCGACTATAGAAACAAGGAAAAAAAGTGTCCGACTACTAAAGCATTCGTAATTTTTCATTAAAATGTTTATATTTTATTAAATACTCAAGTATTTGTAACAAATTTACATGATTTTTAATCCTGAAGAACTCATTTAATTGATAATGTGCTTATAAACACAGTAGATATTTGCTATTTCAAGAAAAAAAGCATAATATAAGATCGTATCCTTAAGTGTCCGACTACTAGTGCATTTACCCTATATCATTTTCAAAATTTCAAAAAAAATTTTAAAAACCTCGTAAATCCAAATTTTTTAAAAAATTTTCGAAATCGATTTCAGGCTTTTTACTGGCATGTATTCCATTTCAAAATTTCGAAGTTTCAACAAAATCGAAGAAGCAGGGGACAACTTTGATTTTTTACACGGAGAAACTTTTTCTTCTAATATTGAATATATTTGGTTATCTTTATTCTAAAAGTACGTTAGAATGTGAGGATTTTTCGTGCGTTGTGCTAATAATTTCAACATTAATACGAAAATATGATAAGTTCGTTATATATTAAGCAACCTTCGGTGTACAAAAATTACTATCTGCATTAGAAATAGTCTTATTTTTCTTTAGAAAAGAATAAAATGCTAGTTTTTGTTTGTGAAATAATACGGTAATTGTAACCTTTTTTCCACATATAGATAGAATATATAACAGACATTCTAACGTAACATACCAATTTTGGAAGGACTGCGGGCGGACTTAACCGATTTCGCCCGAGCATCACCGAGTCCATCACCTGACGTCGCGAACTAACCCTAATGTTTTCGAAGTTGAAATTCACACGTGTATGAAAGAAAAAAACCTTTTATTAATAAACGTGAATGTCTCCTCATGCCAAATTAAATTCAAGAACTGTTCCTCAATATAACATAATTTTTTTCACGACTTTTACTTATTTACATAATTTGATTAGTAAGTTATTTTAAAAAATGCTCTCTCTCGAAGGCACATATTTTTCCACCCGTTTAATATATAAGGACGATTCAGCTGTGTACTTCTAACGAATTGTGCGATCTTTCGGTTTCCGTGACCAATCGTCGTGTCTTTACTTGCGTGTGCGTGTGTGCGTTAATAATATAGGTTAGGTTCTTACGTCGTGTTAAATATATTTACCTACAGTTACAGTTGTGGGGATTCTGATGCGTTCTCTCTCATAAAGAGAGATAGCGAGCGAGTTCTCACTCATACGATGAGTGAGATGTAATATTCAATTTCTGAGATTGTCGCGCAGCCTAATTGTTGCGTGACCCTTTAGTCAGGTGGAAACCACGAAAGTATTAGGCAGCCTTATAGGCAAATTCAGTAAAATAATAAACGTGACTTTAAATATGAAATTTGGTCTTATCTTTGAATTGAACACAATTATCAATGGCAACACCTTCTGATACCTTGCAGATTAAGTTTTAGTTAACATAGTTAACAATTTGCCATATTGGTGACCCCGAATGTTTATTTTATTCCTTCGAGGAACGTGTTGAAGTGAAAAGCGTCGTTTTATTCAGAAAGTGAAGCCACGAGGCCTGAGTAATTTCTGAAAAATTCCGCACCGGTCTGGAGAAAATTTTTGCAAATATTCAGACTTGGAGCTGGGGGATTATTTTTGCAAATTTTTGGATTTGGATTGGAAATAAGTGAAACGTAACCAACCACGTTATCAACCACGCCGTCCTTATCGGAGCAAAGGTCCCATTCACAACACGACGCCATTACGTTCGTCAAATATTTCTCATTTCAATTTGCACATGGAAGTCTGGAACTTGTAATCGAGGATTGCGGGGAATATTGCTACATTTTTCACGGAAAAAGGGATTTTCACGAACTCGTACTCCACAAGACGCCAAATTTGGTTCTCTTTTTTTTCAAGAGAACTGCGGATGCGTCATCGACTGGAGACAAAGCTCAGAGTGCAGAAAAAAAAATATTACTTTTTTCTACTCTTTCAATTGTGATAATTCCGGCTTTCCACCAGAAAAATCCTGTTTACTTTCCTTCCAAATAACCTTCCTGCAATTATAAGTGTTCATTGCCTAAAATAATTAAAAGTTTTCAGCAACTATTCTTGGACAACAGAGATGAGAAAGCCGCCTATTTCCACCTGAACGTGTACCTGTCTCTGTTTGTATTCACTTCTTATTGACGAGTAACAAGTAGGGACATACCGAGGATTTTTAAAGCATATTTAATTTTGGAATTGATTTTGATAACGATTCTTTAATTGTAAACGATTTTCTCAAAATTACTTTTAGCTTCAATGTAGTTTTGTTCTTTTTTCTCCAATTTTTGAAAGCGATCGCGAAATATTTAACGCCAACGAAAGTGTTTGAGAGGTTTCTCTTCTCCGGTTAAACAGTAAAGTTATACATTTTTATTTATTTATTTGATTATTATTATTATTTTTTTGTGTGTCAATCAACCTTCAAAAACATCATTGGGGGTTGATGCTAGTAGTTCTTGTTTCTACATTATTCAGTTTGGCATTTATTCTTTTAATTTACAATATTTCACAAATGACGGAGGAAAAAGTTAATAATCCGCCGAGTTCTGGGGACACTGGTGCCGGGGGTTCCGGGGGAGGTGTACCGAGTTTTGGACATACCGATTCAATCTCATACAGAATTCCGAGACTATCCGGGTTTTATAGATCTGAGCCGTCGATATGGTTTTCTCAAGCTGAAATAATGTTCGATTACGCGCGTTTGACCTCACAAAAAGCTCGGGCCGGCGCTGTGATTTCTGTCCTAGATTTCGAAGTCGTAATGTCGATCAGCGATTTGATTCAAGCAAACCCTGCGCGTGTCCAACTCTACGATGATATTAAACAGAGGCTTATATCTAATTTTTCAGTTTCCCCAGAGGCTCGTTTGCGCCAGTTATTAAAAGGAGAGGTCCCCGCTGAGGGTAAACCTTCACTCATCTTAAGCCGTATCAAGAACCTGAGTCAGGGCAAGTGCTCTCAAGAGATTATCAAAGCAGTCTTTTTAGATCAGCTCCCAAGCTCCTGCAGGGCAACCTTGACACTTAGCGAAATTACGGATTTAGAGAAAATTGCAGAGATGGCTGACCGCTTCATGGAAGCATCATGTATGGGCGAATCTTGCGCTTTTGTTTCATCTCCCGCTAATAATAACTTCGAGGAATTAATCGGTAAAATTGACGCGCTATCTGCTCGATTCGAGTCCTTTGAGGCGGCAAACAAAACTAATAATCAGGGTCTTTTCAATAAAAAAAATCGTTTTAAAACTCCGAATAAAGATAAACAGAAGTCTTCAGGTTCTAGCACAGGGTTATGTTTTTATCACAAAAAGTTTGGTAATTCTGCTTACAAATGTGTTAAACCCTGCAATTTTCAAGGTCCAGATAAACAGGGAAACTAGAAGCGCCGCAGCAGGTCAATTCAATACTTGAGGGGAAATGCAGCAACAGATTACAGGTTAGAGACAGGGAATCAGGGTTAGTTTTTCTCATCGACACTGGCTCAGACGTTTCAATTATTCCGGCTGACACGAAGTCAAAGTGTCTTCCTCCCCTATGTGCGCTTTATGCTGCGAATAATTCGCGCATAAACGCATATGGTGAGAGAAGACTTTCGCCGAACTTTGGTCTTGGTCGTCATATGCCTTGGAAGTTTTGCGTCGCGTCAGTGCCGTATCCTATACTTGGCGCTGATTTCTTAGCAAATTACGGTCTTACCGTGGATTTAAAGTCTCGAAAATTAATCGATTCTCTTTCGTGTCGCAATTCTCACTGTCAGTTTAAAAAAGCCTCAATACACGATGTTAGTACTATCGATAGAAACTTACCTGTTGCTCATATATTAAATAAATTTCCAGAAATAACGGGAATGCCTCAAAAACCAACGTTTCTGACGCAGGAAGTTTACCATTACATAGTGACTTCAGGTCCACCATTAGCTTCTCGTGCTAGACGTTTGTCTCCGGAAAAACTAAAAGCAGCAAAGGACAAATTTAGTGACTGGATGAAATCAGGTGTCTGCAGACCCTCATCCGCTTCCTGGGCTTCACCAATTCATTTGGTACCCAAAAAGGATGGTACGTGGAGAGTCTGCGGCGACTACACTCGTCTTAATACAGTTACAGTTCCAGATCGCTTTCCAGTTCCTTATCTGCACGATTTTGCTTCTAATCTTCGAGGTAAAACCTGTTTTTCCAAGCTCGACTTGCATGCGGCTTACAACCAAATCCCTGTTCACCCTGACGATGTTGCCAAAACGGCAGTAATTACGCCATTTGGCCTGTTTGAATTTTTATCAATGCCATTTGGTCTGCGTAACGCAGGCCAAACCTTTCAACGCTACATCTTTCGCGCCATAGGCGACCTTGATTTTGTATTCGCTTACCTGGATGACATCCTCGTGGCGTCCTCAAATTTTGAGGAGCACGAGGAGCATCTCAATACTGTTTTGGGTAGGCTTAAGAAATATTGTCTTCGTTTGAACTTATCAAAATGTGTTTTTGCAGTTCCGACGATTGAATTTCTGGGATACTCGATTGATCAACATGGCATCAGGCCACCCATCGAGAAAGTCAAAGCGATCGTCGAATTTAAAAAACCGCAAAAAGTTAATGAACTGAGACGTTTCTTGGGTTCGGTCAATTTTTATAGACGCAGCTTGCGACACGCCGCTCAAATTCAGGAACCGTTGTACCTTTTTCTTAAAGATTCTAAAAAGAATGATCAACGAGAGATCATTTGGTTTCCCGCCGCGGAGGAGGCTTTCAACAAGATTAAGGAGGAATTAGGTAAAGTGGCTTTATTGGCTCACCCTTCCAATGACGCACCTACTCGTCTCGTCACGGATGCGTCCGATGTCGGGATCGGTGCAACCCTTGAACAATTTCTCGATGGTTTTTGGCAACCCCTTGCCTTTTTCTCCCGAAAGTTAACTTCTGCGCAGAGGAAATATAGCGCATACGACAGGGAGTTAACCGCTATTTACGAGTCTGTCAAGTACTTCCGATACTTCCGATACTTTCTCGAGGGTCATAACTTTAAAATTTGCACCGATCATAAACCATTAGTTTATATCTTTCAAAAAAGTCCAGACAAAGCTTCTCCTCGCCAACAGAGGCAAATTTCATTTTTGTCCCAATTCACGAACGTAGTAGAGCATTTGTCTGGTGTTGACAATGTTGTCGCGGATTGCCTATCGCGGGTTGAATTAGTCACGATGCCCAATGAGTTTAGTCTTTCTGAGCTTGCGCAGGCTCAGGAAGATGACGAAGAATTAAAAAGTCTTATGACTGATGGCAAGTGTTCGTTGAACCTAAAAAAGATCGCCTGGGGTGCTGATCACACTCCGTTGATTTGCGATGTGTTAGGGAATACGTTGCGGCCGTTCATACCGCGTTCTTTCCGCTCTCGCGTGTTTGTTCTTTTCCATAACCCAGCTCATCCTGGAGGGAAGGTGACAGATAAAATTATTCGTCAGCGTTACGTGTGGCCGGGAATGAGTAAGGAAATCAAAGAAAGATGTAGGTCTTGTCAAAATTGCCAAAAGGCTAAAGTATCGAAGCACACAACATTGTTGCCTTCCCAGTTCGTCGCTCCGGACAGCCGATTTCGCCATGTGCATATTGACATCGTCGGCCCATTGCCAATTCGCGACGGTTTTCGATACCTGCTTACAATGATCGATCGATTTTCTCGGTGGGTTGAAGCTGCTCCACTTAGAGACATCGAGGCTCTTACCATTCATCGTGCCTTTGTAGATACGTGGATTGCTCGCTTCGGCGCTCCTGAAACGTTGTCTACAGATCAGGGCAGCCAGTTCCAATCTCAAATTTTTACAGCCTTGCTTAATCTTACCGGTTGTCATAGGATCAGGACGACGCCCTATCACCCCGCTTCCAACGGGTTAATCGAGCGTTGGCATCGTTGTTTAAAGGCCGCGCTCATGTGCCATTCCGATCAGGATTGGGTTCGTTGTCTTTCAACGGTGATGTTGGGCCTCAGGACGGTTGTCCTTGATTCGGGCGCATCACCGGCGGAATATTTATACGGCACCACACTCAGAATTCCCGGTGAATTTGTACTACCTGAGGATTTTTCCGAGGAGAGAAACTTCTTTTTAGAAGAGTTCAGAGAGCATATGCGCTTGGTGAAACCAATTTCCGTCGAGCACCGTCACAAACGCAAGATATTCGTTTTCAAAGATTTGGGTAGTTGTTCTCACGTTTTTATGAAGATTAACACTATTAAAAAGTCCTTGGAATGTCCCTACTCAGGGCCTCACAAAGTAGTAAGCCGAGACTCTGATCGAGTTTACGAAATAGACATTAACGGAATTAATAAACGCGTTAGTGTCGAAAATTTAAAACCGGCGTATTTTTTGAGCGAAAATTTCGACGTTGTAAATAGTACTGTAAATAATAGCGACAACAATCAAAACGTATCAGATACTGATCGAAATAACAGACCTGATTCGTCAAAAACAAAAGTACTTCGCACTTATGTTAATAAAAAGAAAGTTACTTCGAAAGGTTCCGGAACCAAACAATAACTTCGAATTTAGCATGCAATATATTATTAAATCAATGACGTTATCATGAGTACAAGTCATTCTATTTTTGGTTTTCTATTTTTCACGCGTGAATATTTTATTTTGTAAATGGTATTTATTATAACTATCTTTAATCTTTTTATTATTTTTATATCGACATTTTATTTTTGTTATCAAATGTTTAAATTTTTATTATGCTATTAGAGTCACTTCGAATAATACACCTGACTAATATAATTTTATTTTGTCCTCTATTGTATCGTAGCATGAGATTTTTTTTTTTCTCATTTTGGAATCACACGAAATTGTTTATATTTTCATTCCTTTATTTAAATTTAAAAATTATTTAAAAGATTTTTTATTTTATTTTTTTTTTATTTTTTAATTGTAACCACTTATCTTCGTCGTTCAAGTGCCTTGTTATATTAATGAGCGTTATACTTGGGGGGGAGTACTGTGGGGATTCTGATGCGTTCTCTCTCATAAAGAGAGATAGCGAGCGAGTTCTCACTCATACGATGAGTGAGATGTAATATTCAATTTCTGAGATTGTCGCGCAGCCTAATTGTTGCGTGACCCTTTAGTCAGGTGGAAACCACGAAAGTATTAGGCAGCCTTATAGGCAAATTCAGTAAAATAATAAATGTGACTTTAAATATGAAATTTGGTCTTATCTTTGAATTGAACACAATTATCAATGGGAACACCTTCTGATACCTTGCAGATTAAGTTTTAGTTAACATAGTTAACAATTTCCCATACAGTGACATACACTAATGCCATCTACCATCAGATCCAAGTATCACTATCGTCTCTATGAGTATCTATAGACAATTAATTTGTTGTGTTTCTTTTTAATTCATGGCTTTCCCAACTTTGCAAAAATTATTATTTTCTTTCTAAAACAACATACTAATTTTCGTTAGTTTCCTTGGCTGTTTTCGGCACTCGCCCCGAGTTAACTCCGTGTTAATGGTGATTGGTTAGACCTACAGAATGTTTTTGATGATTGGGTAATATTTAACTCGGGGTTAACCCTGGGTGAGTGCCGAAAACAGCCCTTATGAAGAACTGTAAAATATATACCGAATGAGTGTTTTTGATAGTCTCAATAGCAATTTCTATAACCTATGTCGTTTTTCCCTTGAATCTAACCTAACATACTAAAATGTCTCACCAGTTTTAAGAATTAGTGGTATTAAAAGTTTCTCCGTGTTGGCATGGACCTACCCAAATATTTTTGACTAATTTATTGAATTAATTTGTTGATTATTTATAATTTGATGGACAACTTATTTCTTGTACAGTATTTTTCAATTATGCCTTCTTAGTTTGAACTTGTCGCACGAGGAAGGCATTTTTGTAACTTACTGTACTTAAAATAAAAAAGTGAACGTCAATTCTGAGTTGGCATGTTTTCCAAATCTCAGCTCAAATGGCAGGTTTCTCAAATGTTTTTTGAAACGGCACGTTTTTCACGACTAGTCTGAATTGGCACCTTTCTGCACCCAACCGACAAAATGTTAATTCTTCTATAAATTTCGCTTTCACTTCACTTCATTTTCACTTTATCTTGATTTCGCTTTATTTCGCTTTTACTTCCCCTCACTTTCAATTTACTTAATTTTTACTTCACCTCTCTTTTACTTCACTTCGCTTTCAGTTCGTCATCACAACTTTCATTTCACAAAAAATTGGAGTGAAAGCGTGTTGAAATGAAATGAAAGTAAGGTGAAGTGAAAGTGAGGTGCAGTGCAACTAAAGTGAAATCGATGGGAAGTGAATGTAAGGTAAGTGAAATCGAGGTGAAGTGAAAGTGATGTAAAGCGAAAGCAAGGTGAAGTGAAAGAGAAA